GAACCGCTGAGGAATGAGTTGAGCAATTTGGAGGCCGAGGCGCAGATCAATAAGAATCAGGCCATTGAGACGGACTCTATTGTCGCTCAGTTAGAGAAGAGTATCGCCGCCTATAAGGAAGAGTACGCCAATCTTGTGAGTCAGGCGCAGGCCATCAAAGCGGACTTGGCTTCAGTTCAGTCCAAAGTGGACCGAAGTATTGCACTCCTCAAGAGTTTGAGTAATGAAAGAGAGAGATGGGAACAGTCGAGCGAAACGTTCAAAAGTCAAATGCAAACCATTGCGGGCGATGTTTTGCTTTCATCGGCATTCCTCGCATACGCCGGTTATTTCGACCAACAATACCGACAAAATCTGTTCAACAGCTGGTGCTCTCACTTACAACAGGTGAACATTCTGTTCCGTTCAGATTTGGCGCGAACCGAGTACTTGTCCAGCGCTGACGAGCGGCTCCGATGGCAGGCAAACAATTTGCCGACCGATGACTTGTGTACAGAAAACGCCATTATGTTGAAGCGATTCAATCGATATCCACTGATTATAGACCCGTCAGGACAGGCGACCAAATATTTATTAAGCGAATACGAGAGCAAACGTATCACAAAAACCAGTTTTCTTGACGACTCGTTCCGCAAAAATCTTGAAAGTGCTCTCCGTTTTGGTAATCCATTACTGGTTCAGGACGTCGAGAGTTATGATCCCATATTGAATCCAGTGTTGAATAGAGAGGTCCGAAAGACTGGCGGAAGAGTTCTCATCACTTTAGGCGATCAGGACATCGATCTTTCGCCCTCTTTCTGCATATTCTTGTCGACAAGAGACCCAACGGTTGAGTTTCCGCCTGATATCTGTTCGCGCGTGACTTTTGTCAACTTTACGGTCACCCGAAGTAGCCTTCAGTCTCAATGTCTGAATCAAGTGTTGAAAGTGGAGCGACCGGACATCGACGAGAAGCGTTCAGATTTGCTGAAACTTCAGGGAGAGTTCCACGTGAAGCTCCGGCAGTTGGAAAAGTCATTACTACAGGCGCTGAACGACGTGAAGGGACGCATATTAGACGACGACTCCATTATCAGCACTTTGGAGAAACTGAAGAACGACGCCGCGGACATCTCCAAGAAGGTCGAGGAGACCGACAAAGTGATGGCCGAAGTGGACACTGTTTCGCAACAATATATGCCGTTATCCCAGGCCTGCAGTTCTATGTACTTCACGTTAGAGGGTCTAAATCAGGTCCACTTTCTCTATCAATATTCGCTGCACTTCTTTCTGGACATATATCACGACGTTTTGACTAACAATCCGTTACTCAATAACATGACTGAACCCAACGCTCGACTTTCAGCCATAACTCACACACTCTTTGAGGTAAGTTTTGACCGATTGTTTTGAATGTCAACACTTTGCTAATTGTTTTACTTGAATGGATCATTAGGTTGTCTACCAGAGAGTGACGCGAGGAATGCTTCACGAGGATTGGCTGGTCTTCGCACTCTTGTTGTGCAAAATTTATTTACGAATATTTTCCAAGTATTTAAACGTTATTTTGTTGTTGAAATCATTTAGTCATTTCTCATTCCCCATCTCTAGTGAACTCAATTTTGAAGCCGAATTCAATCATCTGATGCGCGGTCGCGAAGGTATTCTTCCCGGACAGCCAACCATTCATGTGGAAGGACTCAATTCAGACCAATTGGAAGGCGCGACCGCACTTTCAAAGCTGGTCTCATTCAAAAAACTTCAGGAAAAATTGAATGCTTTGAAAGACTTCGATGGATGGGTTGAAAACAGTTCTCCAGAATCGTCTGTCCCGCAGCTCTGGGAAGAGTCCAAACAACTCACACCTATCGGCACAGCTATGCATCAACTATTGGTTATACAAGCGTTTAGACCCGATAGAGTCATATCAATGGCCAATCAAGTGATTCACACAATACTCGGCACTGATTTCTTACACGCGGCCGAAGCGGAGCTCAATTTGGGAGCGATTATTGAGAAAGAGGTGAAAGCGTCGACTCCTATACTCATGTGTTCTGCTCCCGGATATGACGCGAGCGGTCGCGTCGATGATCTCGCGGCAGAGCTCAACAGAACAATCACATCGATTGCCATCGGATCCGCTGAAGGGTTTAGTCACGCAGAGAAAGCCATCAATTCTGCCTCCAAGAGTGGCAAATGGGTTCTCCTTAAGAACGTTCATTTGGCGCCTCAATGGCTGATCCAACTCGAGAAGAAACTCCATACACTGCAAACGCATCCGACATTCAGGCTATTCCTGACACTGGAAATCCATCCCAAAGTTCCGGTTAATCTTCTGCGCGCTGGAAGAATATTTGTCTTCGAACCGCCGCCAGGAATCAGAGCCAATCTGTTGCGAACATTCAATACGATTCCGGCCTCAAGAATGATGAAAGCGCCGAATGAAAGGTCGCGTTTGTATTTCCTGTTGTCGTGGTTTCACGCCATCGTTCAGGAAAGGCTGCGTTACTGTCCTCTCGGATGGTCTAAGAGCTATGAATTCAATGACTCGGATCTAAGAGTCGCTTGCGATACACTCGACACGTGGATCGATACGGTGGCGATGGGAAGGACTAATTTACCCCCAGAGAAGGTTCCCTGGGATGCGATCGGCATTCTCTTCGGTCAATGCATATATGGCGGCAAAATTGATAACGATTTCGACCAAAGATTATTGACGTCTTTCATCGATAAGTTATTTACAGCGAAGAGTTTCGATCCGGAGTTTGCATTAGTGTCTGGCGTGGAATCGTCCGAAAGCGGCAAATCATGCATTTCGATACCCGAAGGCATTCTTCGAAGAGATCAGTTCCTCAATTGGGTGGAGACTCTTCCCGACCGTCAGATGCCGTCGTGGTTAGGACTGCCGAACAACGCAGAGAAAGTGCTTTTGACTAATTCTGGCACTGAGTTGACCGCAAAACTCCTTAAATTACAACTTCTGGAAGACGACGACGACTTAGTGATGCAAACGCAAGAGGGAGTGAAAGCCAAACGCCATTCTTCTGATGGTAGACCCGCTTGGATGAGGACTCTGTTGAATAGCGCCGTCACTTGGCTTCGTGTCATTCCTAACACTTTGCAGACAATGAAGAGAACCTCTGATAACATTAAAGAACCGCTTTATAGATATTTTGAACGTGAGGTGAATATAGCGTCGAAATTACTTCGAGTTGTAAGACATGACTTGGAAGACGTGCAGCAGATCTGTAAGGGCGAGAAGAAGCAGACCAATCATCACAGAGAGATCATCGCATGTCTGGCCAAAGGCATGATTCCCAGCCATTGGCGCAAATATACAGTTCCGCAGACCTGTACTGTCATTCAATGGATCACTGATTTCACTGATAGAGTGAAACAATTGCAAAAAGTGTCGTCGACTTCGAGTCTCAGTTTGAAGGTTTGTTTCCATATTAAATATAAAGTGAACCATAATTTTCACACAAATACCTGATCCACAGAATTTGAACATATGGTTGGGCGGACTCTTCAATCCGGAAGCTTACATAACAGCGACGCGTCAATTCGTGGCGCAGGCCAATGGCTGGTCATTAGAAGAGCTGTTCCTCGAAGTCTTGATTTCTGATTCCGACAAGAAGAACGTCTCAGAAGACGGAACCTTTGGAGTGACAGGTATTTAATGATTAACTACTCGATGGAAAGCAAATAGTGCTATAATTATTGTGTGACAAAACAGGTCTCAAACTACAGGGCGCTCAGACCAAAAATAACAGACTCTATTTGTCGCAAACTATATTCACTGATTTGGCGCTCACTTCTCTTCGTTGGATTCGGTATTTAAATGCAATTTTAATGTGACATTAATTTGTGAAATTTATTAATGATTTGCAATCCATTTGCAGCGCAACCCCTGAATCGAAACAATCTAACAAAAAGGTTAGTTATATTTAATAATGTTTGATATGATGTGATTGATTGTAATACTGTGTTGATGTAAATCAGGTGACACTCCCGGTGTATCTGAACTCGACTCGTGCGGAACTCCTGTTTTCGGTGGACTTGGAATTGGGAGAGAATCAAAACGCTTACAGTTTCTACGAAAGAGGCGTCGCATTCATGTGTTTGAGTGCAATCGGATAAACCCTTTAATTTACTATTGATTATTGCTTTTTAATATTTAATCTAAAATTGTTTTATTTAATCATTTTATAAAATGTATTCTTTGTTTCAATCAAACATAATCTGATTGAAAGGCTTTAAAAGGCTCTTATTTGGTATAAAATCAAAATAATTATTTATCAATAAATCTTTTTTATCAATATTTCTCATAATCTGACGCTTGAATTCTTTCAATGCATTTCTTTCGTCAATTCTATGCGATATTTTACCGAAAGTCCATTGATTTAACATTGCGTTCACAGCAATCAATTCGATCTCTCTATAGCTCATATCGAAACCAATTAAATCCATTTGATTCCACTTTTTGCCCAAATTATAAATTCTTTTCGATATGTTTTGAGTGAATTTTATAATGAATTTAAAGTTTTGCTTTGATCTCCAATTCGGAGATATTCTCAGATAAGACGACAATCGCAACGATTGCAAGAGAACTCTTTCGAAGATATTTCTCACAACAATTGCCATATCATTCACTCTATTATCCAATACAATGCATGACATGTGAAGTGGTATCTGTCCTGTAAACACAAATCAAGCGGTTATTTTACAACTTATTACACAATGTTTTAAAGACTCACTTAAAAGTGTTGTCATCATATGTTTGAGCGATGAGTTTGGGTTACAGTTAAACGAATTTAAAATATTTTGATCCCAATATATACTATAATCGGACGAAACGTTAAGTGTTTTGATATCAATCTGATGTCCGCAAAACTGAAACTCATTATCAATTTGAATGTGACATTCATTGAGAGCTATGTTTGTCTTGAGTTTATGGAAATTGATTTTCAAATTGTATTCATTGAATCCATTGAACATCAATTGAACTGTTTGTTTGGCTCTTATTAGTGATGGAGTGATGAACAAGAAGTCGTCCGCTTGAATGAGACGAACTTCTGATGGCAAAAGTCCTAAATCACTGAAATAATCTTTGACCAGTGATTCAATATATATTGAACACAATTCACTTGAAATCATTCCTCCCTGTCTTATGCCAGACTTCATGTGATAATAAGAATTTCTACCCGTTTTGACAATCGCTTTAAAAATATAAGTTTTTAGATAATTCCTAAACTGTTGACAATTATATGACTTTTTGTATACTTTGGGAACAATAATACAATTTCTAAGTTTTATATTGTTTTTGAACGCAATTTCTTGTAGAGATTTCTTATCATTTGTATCGATATAATGGATGTGTTTAACTAAAAGTCTTTTTCTGGCTCTTATAATGTGATCAAATTCTTTGATTATAATTTCATTATTCAATGATATCTTATCAATCGATTTATCAATGATTTCATACAATTTATTTTGATTAATAGACGGATAACAGTCGGCAATATCGGCGCGAATAAAGTATAGCTTACTATCACTGCTCGCACTCAACGATGATTTTAATTTAACCATATTTTGGTGAAGCGATTGTTTGCCATTAAATACATTGTTTGAGATATTAAGCCGTATTGTCTTCAGAACAATGAGAATCATGTGAAGCAAACTTTTTAGTCGTTTGTAATCAGTGGACACAACGGCCTTAAGTCTATTGATTTGACGAAAGTCTTTCACTTTAGGCACAAAACGATGCGATGAAAGGCTTAACAATTTTGACGAGTCTTTGGGTATAAAATCTTCAATTTCGGTGCAATTAATGGAAACAAAATGTTTTTTATGAATCAATTGATTCAATGCCTTGGTTTGCATTTTTTGCCATAAATCGCAACGATAGAAGAATAGCATAGATTTAGTGTTTGCCGTCTCTGTTATGTAAAACATTGACTTTAAAGTTGTCATCAAATACTGGACTAACCATTGAATTATAGTATCAATTATTAAGCGTTCGCCCGAAGTATTGATAAATTCTCGAAACAATTGACTTTCATTGAAATTAATGCCTTTAATGATATCAGAAACGTATAGATCAGTGTTTAAACCACACGTTACCAAAAGTTTACAATTGTTATAAAATGCATTAAAATTTGCTTTTGTGCCAAACATTTCCACAGGAATTACATAATAAAGTACGGAATAAATAAATTGAATGATCTGTTTATGAGTAGTATATAAGTTGAGGGCTGAACGCAAATCATAGGAATATTTATGGAAAAATCCGGTATCTATTGGACATATTTTGTCCAATAGTTTATCAAAACGACAACTTTTATGTTTAACGATAATGTGATTTAGTATCGCAAAGAAGCGCTTCTTTGACTCGACTGTCAATACATTTTTAAGTGAAAAAGTGTTGAATATATTTGCAAACAATTGATGCGATTGTAAGCAATGTTTGCTTAAAATAAAGTTTTTGGCGAAACGACCGCTCGATTGACGCGAATATAGCATTGATTTACGGCTTAATTCACACTTTGCTATCATTTGACGCTTACTAGCAGTTGATCCCAAACTCATACCTCTCTCATCGTCTTCGTCACAATGAGTCGTACCATTGATTGTCACATCAATTGATTCCCTTCTTCTCGAGACAACTTTTTTCTCATTGGAGTTATTGATGAGTTTGTCAACGAATTTCAAGGCCTGTCTGTTCTCAATGTTGATTAGTGTCTCCGTTTGATCACAATTATGGATCAATTGGATGTGTTTGCAATAATTCCAGACTATATTACAAATACTTGTTCCGAGTCTTTGTTGCAAACAATTAACGCAAATCTCTTCAAAAAACAGACATTTGTTTAAAAGGTATTCAAAAAGCGATTCATTGAGTAATGAATACAAATGAGACAAATGTTTGTAGTTTTGGTTCAGATAATCAATTGTATGACATTTGGGCACCAATTCATTGGATCTATTCATGTGATCGAAAGCACTTAAATAGTTGTTAACCATTGCGTCAAACGAGTGATTGCTGTCACTCTTGGACTCAAATATGTGTCGATAATCATGTGATTCATTGCTGACGATGAATGTCTTGTGGCAAAAGTTACCAAACTCTTCACTTAAATGTCCATCACTTCCGATGCAATCAATGACAATGCGATCCAATCTTTCAACCCTTTTATACATACACTTCAATATCATATCCATTGTGACCATCGCTGAGATAATCGGCACTTAATATGGTTTACAAACACAATAATTGATTGATTTCTGAGACAAACAATATTAAAGTGGAAAAAATGATTGTAAATGAAAGTAAAGGTACTCTTAATCCACGTGTAATGACACGAGTTATACGTTTACTGTGTTATCAAAAACAGAGAATATTTAACACGAATTACATGAAGAATATGTGAATAAACTTTAAATTCAATCACATTTAACCAAAATTCTAAACCAAAAACTGATGATTAAGTTTATTAATTGTTTTATAGTTTTTAACTGAAGTCAAAAGACAATAAATAGAGCTTTTATTCAAATATAATATTTATATATTCTATGAATAACTTTTGGAAACTAATTAAAAACATCAAAATATTTTAGTTATATGTCTATAACCGATATTTATTACAGATTAATATTATTAATATTAATATTTTATATTAAATTCAATAGAGATTTAAAATATTGTCATCTATTTTATAGTATATAATATATATAGTGAATGAAGGAAAACAAATGATAACAAATCAGACATAAATGGGAGAGTTATTGGATTTGGGTATCATATCATTCTTCATCGTTATAGCGGTTCTCTCTGAAACATATGCAACAATATTAAGTCAATCATTATTTTCACAGCATTTTTTCATTATACCAGAAATTTCATTCAAATCAACACAATTACTGTTTAAATTCCTTTCGGCCTTCGATTTCCTTATGTACCAAATGAGAGCATATATAGGAATGGCTGACACCGAGGATAAAGTGAAACCCCAGCCCAAGACGGCCGACCAAATGGGATAATCGTAGTTATAATATGATAAACGCTCGGAATTGATAATTGACAATACGATTACACACTGGAAATGCAAATCATATAGTTTTATGATCAGATAGTCATACAGACATAGTTTCAAATATTGTAAAACTTTATTCAAACCAGAAGAAAAAAGGGAGATATGTATTTCCACGACAGCACCCAATATCTATTGGGAAGGTATCCAATCATCGACTCTATATCTCGACTAAATCGTTCCGATCCTATAGTTTCGGTAAATATTTTAATTTAAATATAGTTTATATGGTATTCAGACAATTACCATAAAAGTAAGTGATGGCCAGCGCCTCAAACATCGCCGAACATAGCAATGAAATTCCAGCGGAATATGTGTCGAACCAAACCATTGTATATCCGCCACCCTTTCAAACAAACGTTCAGCAAAATCAGAGCTTATAATTAAGTCATGCTTTTAAATACTTGAGTGCAGTTAACGAGGGCTCCAATGAAAGAGGTGCTGATGACAATAGCCGTGAAATGTTCGCGCTTTAGATTCTTGAATTTGAATTCATCCATTAGACCCGTTATCACTGCCTCCAGTCCTCCCATCTTAATCCACAATTTAATCAATTAAATCATTGAAATCATACAAATTTACATATTTATACCGCAGAATCGATGCCTAACGTCAATAACATGATAAAGAATAATAACGACCAGAATTTTGCAAATGGTAGAGTGGATATAGCCTCAGGATATACCTTATTATGAAGTATTATTTAATGTTAATTATTACACAATATTTAGAATATTGTCAAAATATTTGCACAGAAAATACCACAATATTTATAAGCAAAGAACCCTTACCTGAAAGACAAGTCCATAGCCTTCTGAAGCAACGTTTTGTATCTCTTTATTCATACTCTGAGCCATATATCCCAAGTAAGTAAATATAACGAATCCAGAGTAAAACGATGTCAAAGAGTTAACACAAGCAGTAATAAGACAATCACTGAAAGAATAAAATTTAAATTTGTGTATTACTTTACATTCTTGAATGCATTTGTGGACACAAACCGATAACAATTGTTATTAAACTTATTAAATGAAGCGTAAGTGAGATGTACTCCAAAGCCAACACCAATTGAGTAAAACACCTGAACGGCTGCGTCCACCCAAACAGACGGTTCCAACAACTTTTCCAAACGAGGATTTATGTAATATAGAATACCTTCGACTATAACCATAAGATCACAATTAAAATTGTAATTCAATTTTAATACTACAATAAAATAAAAAGCAAAAACTAATGAAAGACCTGCTCCGGGAAGGAATAGACCTCTTATGAGAAGAATTGTGAGTATAAAGTAAGGGGCGGTTGCAGTGAACCAAACGACCTGTTGATTACCAAAGGAATTTATATTTGATATAACGCTCTGTAAATGCGTGAACAAAGTTACTTTTCCCGAAGATTTAACGCCTTTGAATAGTGAGAAGTAAAGCACAATAAAGACTATCACTAAACATCCAATCAATTCCGGTCTCAAAGTTCCCATTCCTGTCAGACCATCGGATTTGTCGATTTCTAACAGTCCTCTCCTTTTAATTAATAATAATTATTTTTACATACAATTAGAATACAGTTTATGACAAACAATAGTAAATATTTATAAAATACATTTAAATTTATTATTAAAATTGCGGTAAAGAAATAATAGAATATAATGATAACATTAAGAATAACTTGACTCTTATTTACCCATAAATTATATTATAATTCATAGACAATAGACAACGAATAATATGATCTGTCACATAATAATTATATTAATATAATAATGTAAATAAAGTTGATTTACATAAAATATACTAATACTTCCAGTATTTTACAGAATTGTTTTAAAAACTTAAAATACATTCTTTATCTGCAAATATTAATGTGTACTGAAAATAAGAGACATGGATAATTTAATTATTTAATAATAATTATCATATAAATTTAGATAATATATAGATAGATAATATTATTATTATCTTAATATTATTATCTATATATAGAACGCAAAGGAATGTATGAAAAAGCGGTGAAATAGAAAATCGATAAATTCTTGTAAACAATTAATTTTATTTAATTTCAAATTATGTTTATTATAATAATAATCAATCAATTTTCTAATTAGATTTGAAACACAAGAATCATAAGAGTCTTACCAAAAGAATTCTTCTGTCGGAGAACTTCTATTCGTTAAATTAATTTTCACACAATTTCCAGGATCTTCAGGATTCTGGTCGTCAGTTGTGTTGCATTGAATGGCTTGCATTTGGGATACGGAGAAACAATTGGGTGTATTGTAATCGTTGCCGCAGTGCTGCCATGGCATCAGATCTCCTGTACATACATTTTGCTACAATTTCTTTGTATTTATTTGAACTGTCAATTAATACAAACCCGATGTTAATGTCTTAATGATGTAATATGTGGTCCAAGCGATGATCACGTTGTAATAGAAGGAGACGTACCACGAGATCAATACACAACAGTAACCGATCCCTTTCATAGGAGGGCACAGTTTGTTCCACATCGTTATGGGACCGCATTTTGTGAACTGTCCCGCAGATAACTCCAAGAAGAATAGTGGAAGTGCTCCAAATATTAGCATGGTCGTATATGGGATTAGAAATACACCTGTACTCAAGTTTTAATTAGTGATTTTACTTTGATATTATAAAAGAATAACACCTATAACAGAATGTGATATAGTTTTACGAAAAACTATTCAAAGTAATTGCTATCTTATAAAGTACTTGCAAATAACATTTAGTGGTTATTTAGTTGACATTGGTTAAAATATAAGTAATAAAACTTCTACTTCATCAGTTGGTTAACTCAAATTGCAAATAAATGTAAATGAGTCAATTGCATTTCATAAGATTTAGCACATTTAAACAAAATGTATATTAATTTCTCTATTCTTATAAAATCTAACACCAATTTGGTATTAAATCTCATGTATAACTGTAATAATTGCATGATTAGAAGGACAATTAGCCAATACATACCGCCGCCATTCTTATAGCAAAGATATGGAAACCTAAAGAATTATCAATTAAAAAGTTAACTCTCTTATTGAGATGAATTTGTATTATGTTTTATATTAATCAAAGTTTAGTAAACTAATAATAACTAGTAAGTTATGATTTTTAGAATAATTTACGTTAAGTATATTTAATTTCTCTCTCTCTCTCTCTCTCTCTCTCTCTCTCTCATAATCTGACGCTTGAATTCTTTCAATGCATTTCTTTCGTGTGCATTCACTTTATTCACAGCATAACTCTATGAGCTCTCTCTCTCTCTCTCTCTCTCTCTCTCTGAATTTTTATTTTCTCAAATAATTTTTAAAAGAAATAAATTGAAAAGAAGGCAAACCTCCAAACATTGGACAAATCGACAGCAAAACCAATGATAGAAAGAAGAAAATCTATTTTTTTGGACCATTCGACTCGTTGTTCCGGTTCTCCATTTTCGATTTTATCCATTTCTGAATTTTCAGTTTTGCGTAAAGCCTTTGTATTATTTCTTTCATTATTTTTGCATATCTTTCTTATAGCTAATTGTGTACGAAATTTGGAGAACTTTTGTTTCCATTTCGATATCATTATAGAACTATTTTCACTGATATTATCGTCCATTTCTTCATTATTGTCGAAATGTTTTGAATGAACTTTTTGTCCCGAAAGAAGCTTTGGAGTCGAGTGAAGGGAATCGTAGCCTAAATACACAACAAATTCACCACTACTTATCAGTATTCATCTAATTTGCACAATATTTCCAAAATATATCAATACTATTATATATTAAAATTTATAAAATTACATATTACTGTATAAATGCAGTAATAAACGGTTAATTAAAATATGAATATTTTGATAGCAAATAATTAAAATCAAACCTAAATCTACAAAATGTGATTTATTTCGAAATGAATGGCGAGACGTGAGGTCCACCTGAACTCCGACATCGGAAAAGGCTTTGTCGTCAATAATAGTGTCTATATTTTCAATGGAAAGCGAAGACATTTTATGTTAAGATTTGCACGAATGGACACCAATTCAATTCAAATCCACTCAATTTGAAACAATATATTTAATATTAATTGTGCTTTGATTTGATTGCACTGAATATGAATGCAAATCACTTGAAGAATATAAAGTGTTTCCATTGATGTATAGTCACCACAACAACGATTGGACAATACTTTTGACCACTTTTAATGAATTTAATTGCAATTCGCGATTCAAGAAATACATGCATTTCATAAGATTACACTTAAATATAGCAAATAAGTTACACTTATTTAATATCAATTATTAGCACAATATATGGAAATTAAATTACAAAATTGAAACCAAAACTGTTGTCAAAAAAGAGTCAACAGATTTGGAGTTAACAGAAAGGGAAAGAAGTGTTGATTTGAAGAAATAATTTGCAAAAAGCGTTATTATCATCGAAACAGAATTGAAGTGAAAGTAAGGGATGACTGATATTTTTGCAAAAGTCTTAAAAACCCTCAAATGACAGCATATATTGTGTGAAAGCTTTTGAAAAGCATTTGGAAAAGTGTTCAGAACTTCATTATTGTTGTGAAAATGAGTGATGAAAGCAAATGAGAAGTTCTACTAAACTTTGGACTAAATTCTAGTTATAGGCGCTAATCATATTAATAATATGACAGTCCATACAATCCATACACTTCTCGGATAGTGTGTGTGAAGTCGAGAGATATTACAAAAATTCTTTACATAACTTAGAACTACGACCAAAGCTATCGTGCATTTCATTGCAATATATTCCTAAATATTAAGAATAATTCTCTCAAAAAACAGTCTATCATCGCATCCCAACTCTTACCCAACACTACACTATCACCAGCTCTGCCAACACTACCCTTAAATGCAAACATTATATTCCGTTCATTCTCTACCAAACATTACTTTTTTCATTTATTGATTAAAATTAAATATATTTTCCAAAATATTGTTTTCACTACTTTTTAATAAAAATTCTAATGATATTACAGTTATAGGACTTACGACTGACACCTCATTTTTGCCCAATCAATGAAAACATTTCCTCGTATTTAGTTATTAGTTATAATTCTGTTTATAACATACAAAATGTTTGTTCTCTATTAGTGTTATATAACTCATCATTGCATTCATAAATACTTACTATTATTATGCCATACATTGCATGAATATATTGAATTTGAAATCATTAAATGTTCATTGAATGTGCATTTTGTCTTGTTTTTATAAATGCACAATCAATCCAATCATTTTAATATATCATATATTCATCATATATTGAGACAATCAATGCGAGTTTCAATGAGATAAATATATTTTATAAATTAATATATGAAAGTTGCCAACAAAACTTGCAATTCATTTGCCAATAAGCTAAAATGTTCATTATGCAAATCATATTCAATATAGATGTGTTTTTTGATTCAATTCAATTGACAATTTAAAATAATTACAATATTAAATAATTAGCTAAATAATTAACTAATGTAACACCTGTTACATCGGCCGTGTCTGACAGCCGGGCGTTTAATTCACTAAATGTTTATTCAAAAGTACTTGATTTAGAAAACAGAATCAATGCTTCAAATTCTACTTTATTATTAAACAAACAAATTTTGAATACAAATCAAAATGAAATAAAAAACTAATTATAAATTTTGAATACAATTTTTTTAATACAGAAATTTGTGGCCATTTATGGCAAATGAGTAACACATATAGGGATCAACTTAACCGCCTCTTAGACGGAGCACCAGATGAAGGGTCGACTCCTTCTGGATGTTGTAGTCCGAGAGAGTGCGGCCGTCTTCCAGTTGTTTGCCCGCGAAGATGAGTCGCTGCTGATCCGGAGGAATGCCTTCCTTATCTTGTATTTTCGCCTTCACGTTCTCAATGGTGTCGGACGGCTCCACCTCAAGAGTAATGGTTTTCCCGGTCAGAGTCTTCACAAATATTTGCATTCCTCCTCTCAATCGGAGGACCAAATGAAGGGTCGATTCCTTCTGGATGTTGTAGTCCGAGAGAGTGCGGCCGTCTTCGAGCTGTTTGCCCGCGAAGATCAAGCGCTGCTGATCCGGAGGAATGCCCTCTTTGTCCTGTATTTTCGCCTTTACGTTCTCAATAGTATCGGACGGCTCCACCTCTAAAGTGATCGTCTTTCCCGTCAATGTCTTGACAAAGATTTGCATTCCTCCTCTCAAGCGAAGGACCAAATGAAGAGTCGACTCCTTCTGGATGTTGTAGTCGGAGAGAGTGCGCCCGTCTTCCAACTGCTTGCCCGCGAAGATGAGTCGCTGCTGATCCGGAGGAATGCCTTCTTTGTCTTGGATTTTCGCCTTAACGTTCTCAATGGTGTCGGAAGGCTCGACCTCAAGAGTGATGGTCTTTCCGGTGAGAGTCTTAACGAATATTTGCATTCCTCCTCTCAAGCGAAGGACCAAATGAAGAGTCGACTCTTTCTGGATGTTGTAATCGCTAAGAGTGCGGCCGTCTTCCAGTTGTTTGCCGGCGAAGATCAAGCGCTGTTGATCCGGAGGAATGCCCTCTTTGTCTTGGATTTTTGCCTTCACGTTCTCAATAGTGTCCGACGGCTCCACCTCTAGAGTAATGGTCTTTCCCGTCAATGTCTTGACGAATATCTGCATTCCTCCTCTCAATCGGAGCACCAAATGAAGGGTCGACTCCTTCTGGATGTTGTAGTCGGAGAGAGTGCGGCCGTCTTCGAGCTGTTTGCCCGCGAAGATCAAGCGCTGCTGATCCGGAGGAATGCCTTCTTTGTCTTGGATTTTTGCCTTCACGTTCTCGATGGTGTCGGAGGGCTCGACCTCAAGAGTAATGGTCTTTCCGGTGAGAGTCTTAACAAATATTTGCATTCCTCCTCTGAGGCGAAGGACGAGATGAAGAGTGGACTCCTTCTGGATGTTGTAGTCGCTGAGAGTGCGGCCGTCTTCCAGTTGTTTGCCGGCGAAGATCAAGCGCTGCTGATCCGGAGGAATGCCCTCTTTGTCTTGTATCTTGGCCTTCACGTTCTCGATGGTGTCGGACGGCTCGACCTCCAGAGTGATGGTCTTTCCGGTCAAAGTCTTGACGAAGATTTGCATTTTGTCTGAAATATAACACAAATTCAAATGAAATATACGTTAAAAAAGTGAGAATCGATTGAATGTTTGAAAAATGGTTACAATTAAGGATTGATTGTTGGCTTTGATAGCAATTAAGTGTAAATCGTATGAAACGTATAATAACTCAAACAATAATAACTGATTTCCACAGCAATACAGCCTCTGTTATAGTCTCTGCTTTACAGCCGTATTAGCCGTACGCGCGCTCTCATTGGCTGTTCAATAGTGCAGTCGTTTGTAAGGCTGGCTCTCATTGGTTGGGAAGTGTTTTTACGCTTTTTACTGGAAATTTCTCGAAGTCTTTGCCAAAAGTGCAATATTAGTGTACTTTTGTGTCACGTATTCATATCGTGTACTATTTTTTCCACTTTTTATGACTCATTCAAAAAAGACGTACGAAATAAGTGTGAAATAAATAACCCGTTTATGAAATACCATTGAATTCGTGAGCAATAGTTGTATAGTTTTGCTCCCTTTATATCGATGTCATTGTATTTATGCGTCGATTGAAGTGAATATTAATAGCATAGGAAGTGAATGACTGAAACACAGGTAAAGTATTTAACGATGACTTAACTCTTCGTTCACTCAATCAATGCATACGTTTTGAAATCGTTTTAAACGTGTTATGAATGAGTTTACAAGAGTTGAGAGTTTATAAGATATACAGTATATATGAGACGATTAGTACTGTATTTTAATGTACGACTAATTATCACTCATTCAATACATTACAAATACAATGAGTTTAAAGTTTGACTAAAACTTTGTTCAAATTAATTATAGAAATTATGAATGAATTTGAATAAAAAACTTCTCTTTTGCGCATAGGTTTGCACTTAAGTTAGAAATAACTCAAAGATTTCAATACATATTAAATAACAAATTTATTTTAAATAAAAAACATTTTGATTACAACGAGAACTGATTATATCTTCAGACAGTTTTCAAGTGATGAAACTTTTCGAAAATTGTCGTCATTTTAGTCACAATCGGTTCAGACGTTCAGCTAATGAGTGGTCCTTTGAATCTGTATTTCGATTAAAACAAGTATTTAATAAAATATGCAAAACATAACCAATTGATGACAACTAACCGACCACTCAGTGCTTAACCTCATCCGCCGCCAGCGGGCGGGGCATTGGGTCCGCAACGGGACGGCCCTAATGTCCTTATATTAGAATTGGGTCGACCGCCGCCTCCACCCCATCCGCCACCACCTCCTCC